AGTCATGAAGAACAGAACTATATTCTGCAAACTGAGACATTTCAACGGCTTGTTGTGAATTTTTTACTGCCACTAGTCATGAAGAACATAAAAGGTACTGACTGATTATATTTGACTGACGGCAGTGAAAAACCAAATTTAGCATGTAGCTAGCTAGTGTAGCTAGTATCTACTGAGTTCGCAGAATGCTGAAAATCTTAATAATTTAGCTTATTAAGCTTTTTGATTTTAAAATTCTCAATAATGATAAATATACAAAGGAAAATCTCTACAGAGTGGATATTCATCTAATAAAATATTAATTGGAATTTAAAAGTTTTTTTTGTGGAGGGAGGAAAAACTGGTATTAACCTACAGATAAAACCCTGGAGAGAATAATACACTATGAAAAGCTTTTCTTTTCACTTACTCAAAACAAGTTCACTTGTATACTAATATTTTAAAAAAACATATTTTACGACCATCGCTTCCTGTTTATTGTATAAGTCTCTTGCGAGAGGTTCGCTTCACTTGCACTGCCAACTACATTCATTATTTAGAACACACAACACTCAACACAACGCAGAAAAAACCCTAGTTGCAAGGGAGACAATATTTATCAAACTCAACTCACACACACACCCTCTCAGCTCAAAGCTACTCCTACCTTCCTAAAGCTATCATGGATCAATTTGATATTAAGGTTCAAATTGCAATTTAGATGTATCCCTTTTTTTCTGGCAGACATTTGTCACATCTCCTCAGGGGATACCCCAACATGGACAGCCAATGCAGGCCTTCCAGGCTTACCCTGCAAGTAGTCAAGGTGGTGCAGGAGCTTATGGTGTGCAACAACCCCAACAAGCTTTCCAGGTATTCAATTTAAATGTCACGAGTAGCTGATTGGATCTTGGTAATGATAAAAGGGTAAATTTTACACCCAAAGTGTACCTTTGAAAATAACTTTATCAATAATGAGCTTAAAGTTTTTATTAGGTTCTCTACTAGCTAGCTTCCATCTTTATTGCCAGTTAATTATTTTTTACTCTCTCGGAGCAAAGTATGAATACTCAATAGACCCCTGGCATGTGACTTTGGATGACCCCCCTTGTATCTAAAATCAAAGCAGCTCAATTTGGAGGACAAAACAAAAGAATTTCAATCTCATGAGAATTGGAAACCTATTGTCATGTCGTCCAAATTGACCTGCATTCCGGCCGACTTCATGGGATCTATACTCTCTATAATCACATACAGTCAGGCCTGAAGGAGTGTGAGTCATACTACATGTAGATTTGTGACACTAAATCCCAGATCCGAAATCCTAAAAGGCGAAGTACTTGTGATTGTTATAACGATGGTCATCTGTCTGTTTATTGTCAATGTTTGGTAATTCTTTGTATGTTTTACAGGGTCCTGTGAACAAGCAGGGAGATCAGCCTCCTCCTTATAACTCCAATGAATAGTTCGTTAGCAAAGGCCTTTAGTTTCTATGTATATATGCTGGGTAAACTTCCTGGGGGAGGGGTGTGCCGCCAGAACCTTAAAACCCTGACCCTATCCCAGACCTAAAATTTTGATTTTRCATACCCTACCCAAGACTAAAACTAAGAATTATACACCCTATCCCAGACGGAAAAGATGGAAAAGGCGGTTTTTCAACAGATTGCAATCAATATTTACTAAC